TCTAAAGGTTCTACAAAATCTATATCTATTTTGTGAAAGGGTGCTTTGATGGATATAGGTTTCAATAGACCATGATTCCAATACTTTCTGCAGTATTGATATATATTACAAGTCTTGATGTATTCTTTTATAGAATCATATATTTGAAGACAATAGTAATGATTCTTTATCTTTTCAAAGATCTTTTTGACTCCAAGATAGGCTCCTAAGAGGTGGGTGTGAGTTATATATAAAACTAACTCTATTTTGTATAATATGCAACAGCTAGTTTTTTAAATATTTTCTATGATCTTTTTTGTAGAGTAAGTGATTGTATAAATTAAAGAATTTGCTTGTGACTCTATTTGTTTCTTTTGTTTATTGTTGAATTGAGGTGAGTACTGTGCTGTTTCCAGATACTATTTGATTTGATTATATTCTGATGATTCTATTTTATTTACTTTTAAATTTTTATTTTTATTTTTATGTTTAAGTTTTTATGATTAATAAATATAACACTCTAATCATAAGTAAGGACATGACAGGTTTTCTGTAATATCCTAGAAGTTGTAATATACAGTAGCAGTAACTAACTTGCAAAGTTTTTCATCTTATATAGACAGATCTCCTCTATATGAGAGTTACAAATATTTAACAGAATTAGCAACCCTCCACCAAATCGAGTTACAAAGATAAGTATCCAAAAAATTGTTAAACTCTTAGTGGTAGTAGTTTGATTGAATCAATTAACATCAACTATCAAGGGAGATCTTCTAGTGCTATTGGAAATAATATTGGGTTTTCATCTTCTTTAAGATCAAAGTCTAGTAATAGATATTTACTAATACTATCACTTTTCCATTTCTCTATGAGAGTATTATCAATAAGGTTAATACTTTTCTAGATAAAGTTACTAATGGAGCCATCTTTACTTCACTTATTTTCATTTTTGTTATTGACCAATTCTTCATTAGTTGCCTAATAACATTTAGTGATTTTATTAACAGGGTGCTGTTTGACTATGATCCACAATTTAAAGTAATCGTAATACTTAATACACTCATTCAATAGCAAGTATAATTTATCCCCACACCAATATTGTGTGGTAGGTTTTTTGCAATTTCTAGTTAAATGCTTTCCTTTTGTCTTTTGATTTAATCATCACTAATGTGTTTGATATAATACCAGATACAATGTTACCTATCATATCAAATCCTTTTTGAGATAAACTCCACATTTTGATAGAAGCAAAGATCTTTTCTCAAATAATTAGATGGGTTATAATTTAAAGTTTTTATCACTTCTTTGTAAACTTCTTTAGCCATCCTATTATTGATTTGCTCAAGTGATTCTAGCAGTTTCAGCTTGTTTGTAGAAGCTTTATTGTTTTTTTCAGTAGTATAAATTGTTAATCTACAAACTTTACTGTGATTTCACTTTTTACTAAATCATCATCTCCTATATCTAGCATGTATACTATTTGTTGATCTTCCTGTTCATGAGTATACATTCTGAATAGAGCATTAGCATTGTTATTTTTCAGCCAGGATGATATATAATAGTGAAATTATATATGTTTAATCTCATAATATACCTGGCATGCTTGTCTTTAAGCTTAGAGGTTCTCAATTATTGTAGAGTCAAGTGATTAGTTATTAGATAAAAAGGTTTTGATCCCAAAAATATTCAACTACCCAAATTACAGCCAAACATTCTAACTCAGGAACCAAATAATTTTTTTTTGGTTTATTTATACTTCTACTAGTATAAACACCAATATACTCTCTATTGTTCTCATCTAGTTTGGCCAAAACAGTACTGAGCCCTAAAGTAGATGCATCTATATAAAGGTAAAATAGCTTATTGTAATCAGAGTACCTTAAAATTGAGGCTGTAATTAAATATTGCTTTAGGGATTGAAAAGCTTAATTTTGTACTTCTGTTTAGTAATAAGGCTCATCTTTTTTTAATAATTTATTTAAAGGTATAGCTATCTTTAAAAAATCTTTAATAAACTTTTAGTAATACAATGCGAGATCTAAAAATGATTTTATTTGCTTAGATTTACTAGTATAGAGAAATCTTTTATTTTATCCAGTTTTTCTTTATCTGAATAAATTTTTTTGTTAGTAACAAAAATTTTATTTTATTTAAGAATAAATATTTTTTTAGGTTGATTTTTAGATTGGCCTCTATTATTTTCTTAAAAACTTGCCAAAGATGTTTTACATATTCTTGAAACATTTTAGAATAAATAGTAATGTTATCTAAGTATAAGATTACATACTTATTAATGAACACGTTAAAAATATAGTTTATCAAGCATTAAAAAATAGAGGGTACATTACAGACCAAATAGCATTACGTTGAACATGTAAGTGCCAAACTTGGTTATAAACGTTGTCTTTTTTATGTCTTCTTCTTCAACAGCCACTTGCTAGTATCTACTAGACTAATAAACTATTTGGCCTCCTTGAATTCTGACAAGACTTTATTTATCTTTGATAAAGAGTATATGTCTTTTTCTGTAACTATATTTAATTTACTGTAATCAATACAAATTCTCTTTTTTTTATTTTTCTTTCATACTAAAACCACTGGCAAAGTCTATGGGCTTTTGACTGGGAAAATAATACCTTGTTTTTTTATAACTAAAATTACATCTTTAAGAAATTCTTATTCATCACAAGCTACAGTATATGAGTGTTGTTTAATCAATTTAGCACTACCTGTATTTATTTTATAGCATACTAGATTGGTCTGCCCAGACCAACTGTTTGCCTACTTTTATAATTTTTTTTGCAAAAGCTTTTGCATTTTTCACTAGTAGGTTTTTAGCTTGCTATATTTAGAAATTATTTAATAGAGGGTTTACCTCAAATAGTTTAATGTCCCTTTCTATCTGTTTTGCTATTGCTTTAGTCAAATAAACTGCTAGATTATCTTCTAACCAGAGGTCGTGATATAATTCATTTTTATCAGAGAATATATTACTATAGAAAGCTTGTTAGAGTTAAAACCCACATTAGTTGTAATTTATAAATACTATTAGAATATTCTTCAACTAGTACTTCTAAATGCTATTTATGTGACTGTTAGTTAGAAATATAAAGCATTTTAAAATATAAAGAATTTAAATTTAAAAGAAAATCTATGATCATAAAAAGTATCAATTATTGTTATTAGTCACACAATATATTATATGTAAATTTTTTACATATAAAATTATAACAAAAAATATATAAAATTACTATAAACTTTGTAGTTTTGATGTTTTTCAATCTATATATTAACTTAAATTCTGCAATTATATAGAGCATGAAAAAAAGAAATATTTTGCTCTAACTAGCAAGTTACAGCTTTGTTATCTTTGCATATTTTAAAAATGTAACTTTGCCAAAAATAAAATTTTACTAATTTTAAAGTGATAAATATATATAAAAACATACTTTGAACAACATTACTTAGAAGATGAAAGTGGATTACCTTAATAAAAAAACAAGTTAGCTATGTTTCAAATTAAAAATTTATCTAAACTCTTTCCTGTAAATCTGTAAATCATAGTAATTATAAACAAAACAAATATCCAAGTAGAAATTATAC